AAATGTTCAATAAAGAACAGGACGTACAACGTGTCTATTCGATGGACACAACGTGTCCGTAAGGTATTTGTTATTGAGTGTGCATTGGCGAGAGTCTGACTATCAAGCTTGGCATTATCGAGCGGTGTCAATCATTACTGACATCATTACTTTTAAATTGCCTTACTGATTTTGTGAGAATGTCATTATGAAAAATGGAAGAAGTAAAATAATACTTTTCATATTAGCTTCAAGAATTTTGTGCTTTGTACAAGATATTTCGTATTTAGTAGGCGTAATTTGACACATTAAAAGATTTTGTACAAATGTAAATCGCGAAGAGTGGATGAAAAAAGACTTTTTTATTACTTTAAATTACTCGTGTTTACGGTACCAACACTTTCGTCTATTTTCGTACGAGAAACATGGCTAAAAAAATGCATTCCTCGCGGTTGCTTGGTTCGCCTGCACTTTGAGAAGCAAGCTCTGGAGAACAGGATGGGTGGTAGGAGCGCAGTTTGTATGTTCACTGTATAAATATATACTTAACAATCTGGAGCAACGCGAGATCCATGCAGATCTCTTTTAGTGCCATCCGGGAAAAAACAACACAGCTTTTTCGCAAAGATTCGCTTCTTTTGCCACGTGCCGCGAAACATTTTGTCGTAACAATGTAACCGGTGTTTTTTTTTTTTATCTTTGTTGATGGTCGATACGCAAAAACACCGTGAGACCTGACCCGAACATAAAGCGAAGTGCCGTTTTGCCCGCGAGCACTAAAGCGCGGCACATAAATCTACGAGCTATCGCGCGGATGCACATGTAAGCGTCACTATACTTAGGCGCACGCACTGCGCCAAAGTATAGCTATAAGTCGTACGTGCCACGTAGTCCGTAAACCGTGAGAGGTTTCGAGTGAGAGTCCATTTTGTTTAACAAGAATTACATCTTGATGCAACAGATGCCGAGTTATGTCATAATTATGAAATTAACATCAGGTCTCAGCGTAAATTGCAGATCCGTGTCGTCAGTTCCTTCCGACGCGCGATGACAGTAATAGCATTTCGCTGTCACGGGTTTGATAAATTACTCATTCGACTGTACTTGACACTCGTCATTTCACGTCATCAAATTATGTAGGGAACACGACGATATCGGTGGACACTGTTGATCAAGAGTGAGGAGAGTAAAAAATGCGTTATAAAAACACAGTATTAATAGCGTTTATCGATATCTTAATTAACGAAATGCATCACTTGTAATATCGGGAACTGGACAAGTTAGTTGATAATTTTATATCTTCCAATTATCCCAAATATGCATAAAAGATAACATCAAATTGCTGCTCTCGTTATCGTCAGCGACATTTCTCGATAATTAAATAAAAGTATTGGCAAACGTAGTTAATAGAATACGTTTATTGGGTGATCAGTCAAATAAATCTTCAAAATCACAGAGTAAATTGATAAATGCAATTATATGTATATATAATTGAGTCAATTAGTTTACTCTGCAGTTCCAACAATTTATTTGAATGATATCATATAATGTTATATAAAAATACAAATTTTTATAAATTTATAATAGTTCAAACTATGGTTAAATTTTCGTAACATTTCGTGCGCTATGTATTTTTTTACATTATCGCACACTGATTTAAGGTTTAAGATAAAATTTTTTACAATTTAAAAAATTATAAACTATATGTGCGTGAAAAGAAGGTTTGTTCTTTGTTAGATAACTTCCAATTTTCTCAAGAATTCGATTCTTTACTTTTAATTTACTGATAAACGTCTACAAAATGAAAGATATTTGTTCCATGCCAGTCTAGCAGAAGCTATCTACCGTTTCAATATATTACTTTGTGAGTTATGCTTTTATCACAAATATTTTATTACAAAACACAGATTATACTCTTATCTCTAATATCTTATTGGAACGCTTCAAATATTATTCCGATTATATCTGTGTCAATATTTGTAATTAATCACTTTAATATAAAGTGAAAAATAGGATTAAGAATCAGCAGAAGATAGGGGGGTGGATGCGATAGGCATTTAATTGCCATGATGCACTCAAGCGTAAAACAGCTATTAATGATCCCTTCATCACTTTCGGCTCTACGATATCGCTGTACGTATCAGAGATCGGAGGGCGAACAATCTCTAGTTCAAGAACGTTGCTTAATCCTCAGAAATCCGCACTGAGATTCAGTGAGATTTCGCTAATCCGACAGAATATATTTTAATCATAGCTTCTTCAACAAAATTTTTATAGGAAAGTTTTTGTAAAGAAGCCATCTTTCATCGCAACTTTTATTCTTCAATATTGTAACACCGTGATAATTAAACGTCAGATTAAAACTTACTTTGAAATAAAGTCCGTTTGATATTAATTAAATAATAAGGTTTCATGACTGATTAAATCCTTGAAGTTTAATTTGCTCAAGTGTTTTTAATTTTTAATGTTGGCTTATAAAAAATTAAAGTTATTATTTCTCACTAACTATCAAAATAATTATCAATTAGATATTTCTCAATAATGGGAAACCATTTTTGCTTTTTTTCAGTCTTATAAAATTTTTTGTTCACACTTATTCATTAAAAAAGTTAATTATTGTTCTACAATCAATTATCACGTATTTAAATGATTACCATTCAAATTAAAATTATTTAATTATTTCGGATGAAAGATTCGGTCATGAAATGTTCATCTAACAACGTTAATCAATTCGAGAAGTTAAACGAAACGCTGGGGCAAACGGACCGACGTGCTTAAATAATGTGATTGCGGCAACGTTCTGCGTAATATGTCGCGTAAAATACGGATTTCCTGTTCGCTGTAACAGTTCGTTGTAATAGCACCAATCATCCGCTAAAATGTCCTTAATTAAACCTCTTCATGTCGCGATCGAGCTCTGACCCCGGCAAAAATTACACTGCTTTTCCTTCTTTCGTCCACTCAGCAAGCGTATTCTATCCTCGGTCCGCCGTTGCCAGGAACCTGTTTCGTATAACTTCGTATAATGTA